TTAGTAGTTTTCGATGACGCTCAGCAAGTTTTTAATTGCAACTATATATCTATATTTGTACTAATTCAAAAGTTCATTAACAAATTTTACTTAATTAGCCGACTGATAGTTGCGACTTTCTCCCTATACTATGTCCCGCTAGCCGCAAAACTCACCTGCACAAACCGTATCTATAGCTTTCACGGCTTTTTTAAAACAAATCTTAAAGTATAAAAAAAAAAGAACTATATATATATATATATATATATATATATATATATATATATATATATATATATATATATATATATATATATATATATACGTTTTTTTGTTTTTTAACTTACGGCCAGGGGGACATTATGTGCGTGCGTCGTGCCTTGCGATAAGTCGGCTAATTAATTAAAATTCGTTAATTAACTTTTTATTTAGTAAAAATAGACATATGGTTCCAATTAGAGACTTGCTGAGCGTAATCGAAAACCACTAAATCAGTTATTTTCAGAAAGACTGGATGATGTATCGGTGCTCGTGCAGCAGCTGCGTTAGGGACGCGTGCTCTTGAATAAAAGCACGAGCCGGTTGCTCTGAGCTGGCTCCCAATGGATGCAGACGTTTGATTGATGCAGGAGCCAACTCATACCGCACCCTCAAAGGCGATGGCCCCGCGCCGTCTGCCCCCACGTTCCTGTGAGAAAACCGTGATGACAAAGTCACAGTGCCCCTTGAGGGGCGCCCTTCATCTTCTTCTCAACGCGAGGATGAGGCAACGGATGTCTTCAGCAGTCCGAGGGAGCCGCCTCCTGTCTTGAAGGGTGGTAAAATCTCGTCAAAAGTTGAGGACCCAAAGAAAAAGATTAAAGCGACAGGTTCAGAAACTGGCACTTAGCAAGTGCTTATTCATGGATGCCGTTTCAACGCTCCCAAAAATCTTATGCAATCTTGTGCGCAGCAAGGACGAGGACAAACGCACGACACAGCCATGCTGTACCTAACACGCTTCACAACCCAGGTCCTGCTCCTGTTTGTAGCCGCGGATCTAACCGAGCTGCATGGGACTTCGTTGCACCAACCGTCATGGCCGGGGGAACACGTGCTTCACTCGAGCTTCTCGCCAAGAGATAGCGCGGGCACGCAGTCACGGTGCCCTATCTTCCATCTTGAGCATCACCGTGCAGTGGCGCGTCATCCGACGCTTCCCTTCCCGCCGACGGAACATCTTCAAAAGAAGCTACACCGCCTGCAACCATCGGGGCACGACACAGCCATGCTGTACCTAACACGCTTCACATCCCAGGTTGGTTACTTGAAAAATGCTAAATGTTACGGGAAAACGACGACGAAGTGATCTGGTGGAAAGACGCTGATTGTTCTACTCCGGCTAATTCCGGCAAATATAAAAGATTACAAGCTCAAGAAAGCCACCTAGATCAACCCTTGACGACTCTACGATGCCTGTGACTGGCCCGGGTCCAGATGTGGCTGAATGTGAAATGAACGACAACCAGATGGAAGATCTGACGGCCTCATCGAGCGCCGCTTCATCCTGCGCAGAAGTGCCTGGTAAGCTTGAAGACTCATCGGAAGCCTTCCAATTTCCAAAGCGCCGCAAGAGGCCAAGTACCGCCATCAGCTCCGTATCATCTGGCGCGACCATAATCACAACAGCACCGCTTCAGCCTACCCTCACCGTGATTCTGAAGCCCACAGATCCCGACAAGTCACTTGCGAAGATCAATCCTCTAAAGATCTCTGAAAAACTCGAAATGACCGCACCAGATGGCGTCATTCTTGTTAGACCAAATCGAAGACTTAACCTTCTTGCAATTGATTGCAGAAACACTGAATCAACGAAAGCTCTACTTAAACTTGAAAGCATCGGTGGAATACCTGTGCAAGCCTACGCACCGCACTCACGTGAAGCAGCCAAGGGAGTAATCTACGGAGTGCAGGAAGACATCAGTGACGTCCAGCTAGAATCTTCGGTTCGGGCTACAGCTCCCGTTCTCTGCCTTCGGCGTCTTGGGAAGTCAGAGGTTGTGAAACTAGTATTCAGCACTAACACCCTACCTGCCTACGTCACCATCGGGTACACGAGGTACAACGTTGAGCCCTTCATTGAAAAGCCTCGACAGTGCCCGAACTGCAGTTCGTATGGTCATATCCGTGGCACCTGCTTGAAAACAAGTCGCTGCAGTCGCTGCGGTGGAGCTCACGACAGGAGCAAGTGCGACACAGAAGACCCTAGATGTATAAACTGTGGAAAAAAACACGAATCAACATCTCGTCAGTGCCCCAAATTCAAGCTTGAACAAAACATATACCAGTACAAGAATTACGCTGGAGTGGACTACAAGTCCGCAAGATCAGCCATACTCTCCTCAAATGAAAAAGTGGAGGCAAACCCACCTGACACAACTGAACGTAGGCACCATCAAAACCACGTTGCTAATAACTCAACAGAAGTGGCCGGCACATCCTCTGTTAAGGGTAAATACCAATTGAGAAAAAGTAACACAGAAACGACAGGTCGTAGTACTTCAGATGACAAATCGAACACGTCTAACACACCAACATATAAACTCAATGACGCTAAGGAGTTTCCAATCCTTCCCCATCGGGAGCCTCCAGATAATATTAATTCCAGAGACCAAACTAGAACATTGCGAGAGAAGTATCCAACGAGTCCCTCTCCCCCGAGCTTGGGACCCACACTGAACACTGTAGCCACGTTTATTCGTAGCATTCTTCTCACTTGGCACTCTCCTATAGCAACAGCTTTAATAACACTTCTTGATTACATCCTTCCGCTCATTCAGCTATGGTGTCAATAAGTACACGTTAATTGCACGCCTCCGCCGACATTATCACACAGTAGGCCCATGCAGTCCATTGAAAGATCACGTAGTCGAGCAGCTATCTTTCAGTGGAATGCAAGAGGTCTACGTAATCGCTTATCAAATTTTCGCCAGTTTGTTTTCAAATATCGTTTTCCTGTTATAGCAATATCAGAGTCACGAGTCGGCTCAGACATAAGACTATCAGGTTATGAGCTCTTTTATTCCCAGAGAAGATCGGGTTTAAGCAGGGTACTTCTTGGAATTAGGAAAGATCTCACCTTCTTTTTGCATACTATTTCACCACACCAAACTAACGAATACATTGCTGCAAGTATCCGCAAAGGAGCGATCACTTTCACGATAATTGCGGCATACATTCCACCAGGGAAAGCATTCGACAAGCTTAGACTAGAAGAAATAATTAAAAAGACACCAAGCCCACATATTCTGACAGGCGACTTTAATAGCCATCATCCAGTGTGGGGCGGTAAAAAAGCTAATACTCGAGGAAGAGCATTAGTTGATCTGGCCTACAAATATAATCTTAAGGTTCTCAATGACGGAAGTCCCACGTATTTCAAGGGGGTCACGATGAGTAGCCCACTAGACATTTCACTGGCATCTGCCGATCTGGCCATTAAGACATCATGGTTAGCCGACATCGAAACCCACGGAAGTGATCACGTCCCCACCTATATCACAATAAACAAATTTTGCTGCGTAAAACTGGGTACAAGTCTATCCTACACTAACTGGGAAAAATTTCAAGAAAAACTAGAAACAAAGTGTCATGAGATCGCTACTACTGAAGACCTTGCGCACGTCATTGCGTCCGCAAAATCAGAAGCTACAAAGTCGTACAAGATGGCGAATTCGCAAGCTGCTGTTGATAGCGAATATGAACGGCTTCGCGCTATTCGCCGTCGTGCAGAACGTAGAGCCCGAAAAACAGGCAAATCTGACGACTTGAGAGCATCACGGCGAGCGCAAAAGCACGTTCAACGGCATTTAGACAAGCTCTCAAAGAAACGATGGAGAAATAAGAGCGCAAGCCTAGATCCCAGGAAGCCTTTGACACGCATTTGGCCAATGATGAAAAGCCTTCGTAATAAACCGCAGCAATTACATCCCTTCCGATCCATAGCCTTGAGTCAAAAACTCACAGAAACCGCCGTGGCAGATGAGTATTGTGCAAAGATCACCTGTTACACGTCAAGCTCTAAATACAACATCAGTATCACAGATCAAATAACACAAGCTTGTAGCCTAATTAATGTCCCCTTTACGCTAAAAGAGTTAGAAATCGCGCTTGCATCATGCAACACTAAGTCATCTCCAGGGCCAGACGGGGTTGCTTATTGTGCCTTAACTCATCTTGGTGAAAGAGCACGATGTCTTTTACTGGACTTTTATAACATATCATGGGAATCTGGCACTATACCAAATGAATGGAAGGTAGCTCGTGTCCTGCCTATTCTCAAACCTGGAAAGTCGCCACTTGACATTAATTCCTATCGACCAATCGCACTATCAAGCTGCATTGGAAAGATAATGGAAAAAATGGTGCTTACGCGGATCGAATGGGACCTAGAGAACAGGGGCCTATATCCACCCCAGATGTCCGGATTCCGCCGCGGAAAAAGCAGCATAGACAATGTACTAAGTTTGGTTTCTAGTATCGAAGAGATGAAAATGCAGAAAAAGAAAACAACCGCTCTTTTTATTGACATCAAAGCGGCATTTGATACAGTGGAACACGATGCAATACTTCTTGACATGAAAAACATGGGATTCGAAGGACCTGTAGTGACGTGGATATCAAACTACCTTAAGGGAAGAAAAATTTACATTTCAACACAAGACGGTGACACAGGACACCATGAAGTAAAACGAGGGGTGCCCCAAGGGGGTGTTCTTAGTCCAATTCGTTTTAATATCTCGCTCATTAGTCTTCTCAAACTTCTTCCAGACACAGTGCATATATCTTTATATGCTGATGACATTTGTCTTTGGGTATCGAGCACGTCTTTATACATAAATCGGGCACGACTACAGAAAGCGATTAACATTGTCATAAAATACCTCAAGTCTCGTGGGCTACATATATCTCCCATAAAGTCAGCCGCTGTTGCCTTTACAAAAAAGGATACCAGCAAATATCCCATATATGTGGAAGGAACACCGATACCCTATGTTCCTGAATATACCTTTTTAGGTGTAACTGTAGACAGATATCTCACTTGGGGCCCTCATATTAAACGGCTGAAAAATAAATTAAACTCTTTCACTCAAATAATCCGAATGATAAGCGGAACAAGGTGGGGTTGTTCCGTCTCAGCAACGATGACCCTGTATAACTCTCTTCTTGTAGGACTCTTACGGTACACCTTACCAGTTATGAACGGAGCCTCAAAGACTGTTATGAAAGATCTTGAAAGTGCCCAGGCACAAGCACTGCGCTCTTGTCTGGGCCTGCCCAAATGCACATCGAAGAACGGCACACTCGCTGAGGCGAGGGCACTTCCACTTTCAGCTTTAAGAATTCAAGAAACAATCAGAACTCACCTTCGACATGTCACTCGCAATACACATCACCCCCTTAAAAATATTGTCGAATCCAAACCTTCCTCTAGCTTCTCCAAAATCATTGCGCTCCTGAAAGACTATCTCCCCAACTTATTTGAGGCTGCACAGAATCCGACACTTCCGCCTTGGATGTATCCCCCATTAGAAATTATAGTGAACATTCCAGGTATAGGAAAGAAAGCAGAAACATCGATCGCCGTGATTACACAAATAGCCTTAGAATATATATATCGAACCTATTCACTATCTGTGCATATTTATACGGATGGGTCTACCACTCTAACCTCCTCATGTATCGGTGTATATATTCCATCAACCAAAACAACTATTAAAGCAAAACTAAGTCATATGACGTCCTCGACTGCTGCAGAGCTCGCGGCGATCAGAACAGCCATGCAGCATATTATTCTCCAAAATCCACACCAATGGGTGATATTCGTCGACTCTAAGTCTGCTCTTCTAGCTCTTTCTTCACTTCGTAAACAAAGTCCAAACATACAACTTATTCACGCAATCCGGGAGATCCACCAAAACGCTTTGGTTAAGGGGCACAATATAGTTCTCCAGTGGGTGCCAGGGCATTGCGGGATTACTGGAAATATTTGTGCAGACAACGCAGCCAGAGAAGCTCACAAAGAAACTGCTACTTTCCTCATTCCACTTTCAAGAACTGATTCCAACACCGTCACTCGATCAATCGGCAGGGAAATAACATCGTCGTTATGGACAGACCCACATTATTACTACAAATACCTAAAACACATTGACCCCAAATTAGAATTTTGCATGCCACGAAACCTCTCAAGAGCTCAAGAGACAACACTTCATCGACTGCGTCTCAACGTCGCATATACGAAGAAATACCTCCATCTTATTGGCAAGGAAGAATCACCCATGTGCTCTTCATGTTCTTCACCCGAAGACAGTGACCATCTATTGTGTATATGCAAGAAATACGATTCTGAAAGAAAGACGTTAAAAATACAGCTAGGACTAGGACCAAATGAAAAACTTGAACTGCACCACCTTCTTGGGCCGTGGTCAACGTCTGGAGACGCACATAAGGCCACGAAAGCACTAATTAATTTTCTCTCTCATACTCGATTATTCAAGCTGCTATAGAAGTTGATGTATATAATGTAAATACGTATTATTTTATATAATTTTTAAACTTTTCTTTTTTCTCTCTTTTTTTTTTTTTTCCTTTCTTGTCCCCCTTAACCCTACCCCCCTCTCCTTTACGAAGTAGCAAATCAGCTTTTAAGCAGGTTGACCTCTTCGTGACTGTAAATAAACAACTATTCTCTCTCTAAATGTTACCGTTCTAATAACCTCATGCTTTTTGAACTGTCGTGCCCCATCGACCGCCAACGCGTACTAACCTGTTTTCGTGGTTTCAGTAATGTATTCGCTGCTGTGTTTAACAGCCTGCTTTCCCTGCCTCGCGACACATGTCTCTTGTCTTTGGAAGGATTGCTAGCCCTATCAGGAGATGTAGACCGAAATCCTGGGCCACTAACAGGAATAGAAAAATTAGAAGTAATGCTTCAAAGCCTCGCGGAAACAAATGAAGAGAACCGAAAGGAAACTCGGGAAAGGCTGGATTGTATCTGTTCAGGAATCTGCGAACTTAAACAAAAGGTTCATGCCCTAGAAAAACAAATTCAGGAAATAAGTGAGGTCAAAGAAAGACTTACGTTGTTGAGGCAAGTGTTAGCGAATTAAGGGCCGATCTTGGTTGCAGGCACGGGAAATTTGATTTACTCGAGTCCGGAATTGATGACCTAAATAATAGAATGAGAAGGAACATTCTGCTCTTCCGGGTATTCCAGAAAAAACAGAATGAAACATGGGAACAGTCGTCTGTCATAAAAGAGTTTGTGAAGAGACACCTGGGCTTCGAAGCCGGTGTGATTGAGCGTGCGCACCGCGTGGGTGGCAAACGTGACAGCGCAAAACGCCCCATCGTTGTGCGCTTCCTCGACTATCAAAGTAGACAGGATGTTCTTCATAACGCTCACAAACAAAAAGTGAAAGTCGTTTACAACTCCCTGTAACGCCGAATTGGAGCGCAGCTCTTGAGGAGGAGGAGGGAAGGGTACTGAGGGGAGGGTAGACCCCTCCTCCTCCTTCTCCTCCTCCTCCCCTCATTCTTTAGTATGCTCCGGGGGGTCACCTGACCTCGGGGGGAGGGGGTCACGCGACCTCGGGGGGGGGGGGGGGGGGTGTCACGTGACTTGGGGGGAGGGGGGTCACGTGACCTCCGGGGGGTCACATGACTTGGGGAGTCACGTGACCTTGGGGGTCACGTGACCTTGGGGTTAACTTGACCTCTGGGGGCCACGTGACCTTGGGAGTCACGTGACCTTGGAGTGACCTTGGTAAGTCACGTGACCTTGGGGGAGTCACGTGACTTCGCGGTTACGCCGACGGCGACGGCGGCGCCGCTCAAGCCGGAAACGGGCGCCTAAGAGCTGCGCTCTAAAAACGTTCCCTCTCTACGCGTTTCCATTTCGGAAGATTTCACACCACGGATCCGTCTACATCGTAGCAAACTATGGCAATTGAGTGAACATTTCAGAGAAAGATACATTATAGAGTCAAACTTGTCTACGATAAGCTATACGCAGATGGTAAGCAGTTCTGCTATTGTCCCCAGAGTGACGAGGTTATTTTGCTAAGACAACTTCAGAACAACAATATGACTGTGTAATAGCATGAGATAACACGTAGCCAAAAAAGTTGACGTCTCACTCATTGTCGCTAACTTCCGTAGTCTTTTTTCTAAACAAGAGGATCTTGCATCGGTCATCGACGATACCAATGCTAAGGTAGTTATAGGAACTGAAACGGTGGTTAGCACCTGAAGTTGAAAATGTGGAGCCTCTTCTGAGTGAGTCATTCAATCTATTTCGGAAAGATCGTACGCTGTCGCGGGGGGGGGGGGGGGGGGGGAGGGGAGGGGAGGGGAGGGGTCTTTATTGCAGTCAGCAAATCTATTAACGCATCTCTCATTCCCGTTGATAGTAGCCTAGCAGTGTCTTGGGTTCGACTTGAATTTGCTCGCTCATGTCGTATTCTTGGTGCCTGTTATCGCCCTCCGGGAAGAGATGTGGCTTTTCAGAGAAATTGTTTGAATGCATCGAATCTATTAAACGTTCCTACCCGGATTGTTGTATTATGTTAGGATTGGACTTCAACTGCCCTAGTGTTAACTGGAAAGAAGGGCATATTGAAAATGCATGTTTAAACCCAGTAAAAGCCTCTAACGAAAAGGCAAACAGCGCGCAGAAAACGGGGACTAGAGGAAGTGCAGACAGGACAAGCGCTGACTCTCAACTGAAATTTAATCACAAGGGAACAAAACAAAGAAAGCCTCTACTTTTTTGGATATAGCAAGCATTTTCATCCTTAATCAAATCGTTACTCAGCCTACAAGGAACACTGCTATACTAGAACTTGTGTTTACGTCGTCTCCTCACAATATTAGGTCAGTTGTTGTTCTCGATAAAATTAGTGACCATAACATTGTTTTTGTTGAAATGACACTCCCGAATGAGTTTAGAACTACGGCACCAAAAATTATATATGATTATTCGAAAGTCAACAAGGAAGCTCTTGTTGCCTCTTCTCAAAGTTTTGCGTCCCAGTATTTAGAAAATTTTAACAAAAGATCTCTTGAGGCAAACTGGAATATGTTGAAAATGGAGTTTAAGAGACTAAAGTCGACTTTCGTTCCGAAAATTGTGTTAAAAATGAATGATGAACGACCATGGTTCACTAACTGGTTAAAAAGACTATCTAATAAGAAAAAAACGTCTGTTTTCTAAAACAAAGTTAAGTAATCTAGTTATAGACTGGTCAAAATATAATGAGTGCTACAAAAAGTACAAATCTGAAATTAGAAAGGCAAAAAATAATTATTTATTTATTTATTTATTTATTTATTCAATATACCCTTCAGCGCCCAGAGGCATTACAGAAAAGGGGGGGGGGGGGGAACATACAGCCAGAGGAAAACAATAAACGAACTCTAGGTTTTGTGACATAAAGTTTGCTAGTGGAAAGAACAAGAAGAATAGTAAGCATTATACAATTATTAATACATTTGACATATCAAGAGATAAGGTACAGGCACTCTTCAATAAGTCTGAAAAAAAAAACACATTATTGGATGACACTATGACAAGCGACTCCGGTAGACAGTTCCATTGATGAGTGGTAAGAGGAAAAAAAGAGTGTTTAAAGATATTAGTGCGGCACGAATATTCGCGAAGCTTATTCTGATGATCTACCCTGCGTGATATGAAGTGAGGCAACTGAAGGAACGATCCCCTGTTTATGCCCGTTTTGTTATTATAAATGTTATGAAAGAGTTTTAAACGTAAAGCGGATTAAACAATGACCTTTTAAATTTATTAAAAACAAACCCCCAAAAATTTTGGAAGACCATCGGTCCTAAGCAGGAGCGAACTTTGCCTAAGATTTATGACGAGCAAGGACAGGAGCTCTCCAACCATGATTCAACAACCGTTTTTAATGAGTATTTTGTATCTGTTTTCACTGAGGAACAGTTTCCTTTGGCATGTGATTCAATTTGTGTATCCCCAACCATATCATGTGAATCTGTCACCTTTACACAAGAAGCCATTTTGGCAATTATTGATCGACTCTCCCCAAGCTCTGCACCTGGCGAAGACGATATATGTCCCCAACTTTTGAAGGTAACACGAATCATATCTTGTCATCTACTATATCTCATTTTCAAGCAATATATATACCTTCCGGCGGATTGGAGATTTGGGACAGTGCTACCAATTTTTGAATCTGGTGATAAAAGACATGTTTCTAATTATAGGCCAATTTCATTAACAAGTGTACCATGCAAAATTATGGGGCATGTCATATATTCCCATGTCATTAGCATGTCATTATCTGACCATGACCTAATTTCTACTAACCAACATGGATTCAAAAAAGGTTTTTCGTGTGAAACGCAAATTTTTGAATTTGCTACTAATTTGCATGAAAACATTCACTCTTCCAAGCCTACTGATGCCATATTTATTGATTTTGCCAAAGCTTTCGACTCCGTACCTCACCAACGCTTGTTGTACTAGCTGTCTAAACATTCATCCTGTTATCATACAATAGATTGCCACTTTTCTTGAAAACCGTGAACAGGCTACATATGTCGGAGAGAGTAAGTCTTCAAAATTATCTGTAAAGTCCGGTGTCCCTCAGGGCAGCGTATTGGGTCCGCTTTTATTTCTCATTTACATAAACGACCTTCCTCTTAGCTTAACATCCTCCATAAGACTTTTTGCACATGACTGCGTTATCTACCGGCGCATCACCAAACCAGATGATCAAGCCTCAACATGATTTTACTCTGGTGCAGCACATGGCAACTGAAATTGAACACTAACAAAACAAGATTTATAACATTTGCCAGTCAGCCTTCTTCCACGCAAAGGAATCACTCTATTAACCACGAAGACATAGAAAAAGTTCGAGCATAAGTAATTTTTTTAGAGGACCTCACTTGGAACGATCATATCAATAACACCGCTTCAAGTGCATGTAAATCACTCGGATACATCAAACGCAACCTTTTCCGCTCATCTCAGACAGTCGAACTAGCCGCCTACAAAGCATTTGTGCGATCCGAACTCGAATACGCCAACATCGTCTGGTGGCCTCATCAAGCATAGCTTCTTAAATAGCTCGAATCTGTTCAAAACAAGGCATCACGCTACACCATGCATGACTATTCACGAACCTCGAGTGTCACTAATATCAAAACCAACCTGGAGTTGAAACCTCCAACTGTTAGAACCAAACTAGCCCGTCTTGTTTTCCGTCATGGCATCTACTACTCATCATCGGAATTTCGTAGC